GGGGAGCACACTGTTCGCCCCCCAAACCAAATGTTGGGCACCATCAGCGCAAGGTGGTTCGCACACCCATCCTGGGCAAGGTGCAGGTAGAAGTACTTGTTTGCATCTATTGATAGAGAGAAAGGAAGGCGAAGTCATGGGGCGTAGGGCATCAGAGGGCCATTTACGATGACGAGTGAAAAAACATGGAGGGTGGACGGTGGCCACGGGAGCGTTCTGGATGTGACTATGTGCATTTTTGTGTGTGTGTGTGGGGGGCTGCACCGCCTCCTCCCCACACCCTTCCCCGCCAAATGTTGGACATGGCCGGCGGTTTGGTGGTGGCGTTGTTTACGATATAAAACGTGCACTACGTGTTGGATATGCTCTTACGTTCTTGCGAACGCCTCTACTATGTAACATTATGCGACATAAAACGTGCACTATGTTCAACGCATGCTGTATATATGGTCATTGTAATGGACATTGTCAAAGGGTTCTTGTTTGTCTATGTTATCACAGTACACGTGGTCGTTGGTAGGTAGATAATGGTGCCACAGTGCTCAGTTAGCTAGCCTGCCACTCCCCAAAACCATAACACCCCCCCCACTCCCCCCCAACCCCCCCCCCCAACCCCTGTCTCTTATACACATCTAGATGTGTATAAGAGACAGGAGGTAACCCTCTCTCTCACTCTCTCTCTCTCTCTCTCTCTCTCTCTCTCTCTCTCTCTCTCTCTCTCTCTCTCTCTCTTCCCTGCTCCCAACCTGTCCTCTGTCTGTGCCTGCCGTCGTACCTGCCTTCGTGACGCGTAGCTCTCAAGTGTGCCCATCTTTGATTATTGGTCTCACCTTGCTGCTTCCCTCCGACGAACCCAAGTACTTGCCTTGCCGTCTCCTGCAGAAGCACTTGTCCCCCTGTGAGACGCCCCACGCCTCCCTCGCCTGCCCCCCCCGGTCCTCTCTCTCGTGCTCCAACCCCCTTCTCCAGCTTTTCCTCCTTGAGCTGAGTTAATCAACGAAGATGGTGTACTTCTTCAAAGCGCGTCCGGAGGCGGGCGATTACACGATATACATGGGTCTTGACAAGTTTGAGAACGAGGAATTGATTAAGTACGGCTTGCCGGAGGATGTGTGGTTCCACGTGGACAAGCTCTCGTCCGCGCACGTGTATCTTCGCCTGTGCAAGGGACAGACAATCGAGGACATAAGTCCGGAGGTACTGGAGGACTGTGCACAGCTTGTGAAGGCCAACTCGATTCAAGGCAATAAGATCAACAACGTCGATGTAGTGTACACGCCGTGGGCAAATTTGAAGAAGACGGCAGCTATGGACGTTGGTCAGGTGGGCTTTCACAGTCCCAAAGCCGTGAGGACCGTAAGGGTCGAGAAGAGGGTTAACGAGGTCGTGAACAGGTTGAATAAGACGCGAGTGGAGCGAAAACCAGACCTTAAGGCGGAGAGGGAGGCATATGATGCAGCAGAGAGAGCACAGAGAAAGGCGCATGTGCGAGAGATCAAGAGGAGAGAGGCGGAGGACCGAGCAGAAAAGGATCGCCAGGCAGAGTTGCGTAGCTACAAGGGGCTCATGAATCATGCAAAAATGACATCCAATAAAGATGCGCTGAAAGGGAAAAGTGTACAGGAGATTGAGGATGACTTTATGTGAAAGAAAGCAGAGGAGGAGAGGGCGAAGTTGGAAGCTGAGCGTAGAAGGCAGTAACT